TTTCTTATTGCCTTTTATCCTTCTATTCCATGTAAATCATTTCGTTCATTCAATCAATTATTATCTAAGCGTTTTGATGTACATTTTAGATACATAAAATAATGTAGTAATTTGGTTTTTTCAATATAATTCCAACTATTTTGTTTTCGTCAGTTGATTTAATTGAAAACATGATAAAACTGCATCTGTATCATTTACTAACAATGTATGAAATGTGTTTATGCCAGATTGAATATTTCATTTCTATCACGGTAGACCTTTGGAATATGAATTTATCTCCATAGAGCTCGAGAAAGAGGATTATGATATTTTGACATTCCAAGATCTTAGTGTTATGGCAATTTCATACCTCTCCATAAAACAATCATAAAACATGGAAACTCTCCTACCTTCTTCATAATTTTAAAATAAAACTTTCAAGATAAGACAATTTAAATAAAATTCCATTATTTTCAGCTGAGTAAGATTTCATTAAAATTGAATAAATAGCTAAAAGTTAATGTCTAAGAACGGTGTGACGTCATGAAAATACGGCACAAACAAAACTTTTAATCAAATTATGGATGTAGATAAAATCAACTCAATTCAAAAGACACGAGGCAAATAACAGGAGAAATCAAGGGGTAATTGACATTGTGTGACGTTATACATGTATTGCATTTAATTTATTATACAAAGAGACACTATAATAAGCGAATTATATTTACGCGTGATAAGATCAACTTTTAAATTATTATAAGTAAATAAAGTTACTCGGAAAACTAAACATGACAGCATGCAGATAGACAAAGCTTTTGATGATTTTTCAAAACCCTTGTTTTTCTGCGTCGTTAGTATTTTGGAGTATGAACCTTATCTTATCTTGTGTTGCAACAATTGTTTTTTTTTTCGAATTTTATATGAATAATTTTGCTCTAAAGCTTTAATAAATGTTTGCTCTGATTCTTCTCTTGTGATTTGTCTAGATAAATAGACCTAGTAATTTTAATATCATATGGCCGTTGTAAAATCGACACATTCTATAAATATCTGTAATATAGTCATTTAATGATGTTTTTGTTTCTCTTGATTCATTTGAAATTCGATACAGTTAAAGGGAGGGCTTTCAAGACGCAAACTGAGTCAGTACGATAAAATGTTCACTAAATCAGCACTTCTACTATGTGGTTTATGTGTTTTTCTTACATATTTTATAACATGATGTCAGCTGTTTTTGCTCATATTGAGATTTATTTATAATCGTTGTAGGCGAAGAACTAGCTAATCCGAGTTAAAATCAACATTTGACGTACTATCGTATATTTATGCATATGTAAAGGTACCTAAAATGTACCTTAAAATGTTTAAGCAATAGTTGATAATATTGCGAAGTTTTTGGAAGATTGCTCAATTCCCAAGAGATAGAAGCAAACAAGTTCGAAAAGGCATATTACACCTCGCATGCAATAGAAACAGGCATGTCTGTGTATTGAAATCTTTTAAAAAATGATAAATGACAACATTCCTTTGGTTAAGGTAATTAATTTTGCTGAATATCAAAACTATTATACAAAATGTTGCACTTGATTATAATCTTTAAGTAAAATAATCCACCTTGGCACATTAAAGTGTATCTCTTTGAATCTGAATAAAGTGATTAAGCAGATATGCAGCTCTGACATATGAAATTAAGATTCTGATTAAGATCTGCAGAAAACGAAAGAACTTGTCTTTAATCCATTTTCGCATACAAGATTTCCTAATTGGAGGAACCCTTAATCTAGGGTCCTGTATTAAATTTCTATTGATGTTTGTAGTTCTTTCATCATCATTTGACCCACCGAAAATAAAGCTAAGAATTTTTACATTTCCTTTTGTTATCTATAAATTTTGATAACAAGATTTTGTTCTTGATAGCATTCTATTTTTTACCTGTTAATCTTTCTTTACTGACTTCTGTACAATAACCGTGACACTGCAGGAATATCTATGTCTGACTATCTTTATATAACTAGATATATACATTTCCCTGACAACGGTTTTATTAATGTCATAAATAAAATAATTGCTTTAAGTCCTCATTAAAGGATTCACGTTTTGTATACCTTATTTTAGCACAAGATGCATTTTGTTTAATCATCTGAAATCAAATCTTATCATTCATCATTTGTCGGCGTCGGGTTTGAATTGGCGCTGTGACTAGCACACTGTAGATTACAAAAAACCTGCGCGGATGATAATAAATTATAACGAACCATTGATTCATAATAGGAAGAGTCTTCTTAGAGTCTATTGTTACGGATTTTAAATGCATTTTAATGTGAAAACAAGACACACAAAATGATATTCATCTGTTAGGGTTGTCAGGTGTATCTGTCGATTGTTTAAAAATGAATGTCCTAATCGTTATAGAAAATTTCTTACACGATAGAGCATTAAAATCTTTTTAAAAAATTTAAGAGAGCAAAGATTTAAATAATTTTTTTTTTTTTTTTTTTTTTGCATAGTTCCTTGTTTGATTTAAGTTTCTCTAAAACATACTAAGTAATAGATATGCATTTTTTTTATGAGTGAAAGGTTACTGGTAAGAATATTGCCTTCATGTAGTTAAACACTCTAAACAAGGTCCATCTTCATAAAAATTGTTTCATTGCCCTCTCCAGACTCACTGATAAAAAATGGCCCAACTCTTTTTTAAAAAGCTTACTCCGTCAAGAAATATGTTGAAATTTTTTGAAAAAGTTGATGTCCCATAAAAACAATTGGGAAGTATATGGCTTTTGTCCTGCCTGTCTGTATGTCTTTTTTTTGCAAAAAAAGTTAACCTTGTCAATAACTTTTATTTGGTGGAAGCTATGACTTTCGTATTTTACATGTGTATCCCTTCATACAAGACCTTTTTATACGCCCGTCTTAAGACGGGACGTATTATGTTATAGGCTTCATGTCCGTCCGTCATTCTGTCCGTCTGTCCATTCGTGTCCAGCTCATAACTTCAATACTATTAGGCCTTGGATTATCAAACTTTGTCAACTGATACTTCTTGGGTAGACGGTGTGTCGCGCACAAGAAGTAGATCGATCTGACCTTTTTGTAAGATGTTATGGCCAAATATGGAAAAATCCTGTCCTGCTCATAACTAGAAAACTATTAGACCTAGAACTATCAAACTTGGCAAATGTATACATCTTAGGTAGAAGATGTGTTGCGACTTATTTCAAGGTCACTGTGACCTTTAATTTAAGAGAAATTTAAAAAAAAAAAACTAAATCTTTTATTTTCATAATCCTAAAAAAATATAAAAATATAGTTGTATCCTTATTAAAAAACGTTGAATCAAGTAAAAACTTATTTTTTCATTATATACTTTACAGCAATCTGTAACAAATGCTAATGATATGAGAGAAACAGAAATTTGCATGTCAAATTAGAGAGAAATTAATGAGTTTATTGTCGGGAGCTAACTGGTAGAGCATCTCTGATCAAGCAGCAGTTATTTGTATCCCTTGGGAGTTGGGCAAAAGAAATCGGCCTCATAGTTGCTTATGTTAAAGAGTTCTTGATAGCTAGTCTAAATTTCAAGATAAAGATCTTTCAGTTGGTGTAATGTAATTACAACAAATTGATGTTTTAAAATACAGTGTTTGATGAAAAGTAAATTAATATTGTATAATATAATTGAAACTTTTTATTCATGTGTAACTATATTCAATGTATAATTTTTTTTTTCATTTTTGACATTATATATTTGCAACAAATTGCAAAGTGTCATGTCTGACATAGAATTTTATAGTCTAAAGAATAATTTATTTTTGATGTTTTATTTAATTGTAGCATTTTTAATCAATCATAAAATATGCATTAAATAAAGCTGCAGATGGATATTTGTTAAGCTCAAACACAGCCAGTTTAGAATTATATGATGTATTATTTGTTATAATTAATACCATGAATACCTACACCGAAAGTCTCTTAGAGATGTATATTCATCAAACATGATAAAGAATGGAAAGATCATTGAAATTTGTGTCAGTCTGGTATTGAAGGTTATCTATTTTCTTGCACTCTAAAAAAGTCATGATTATTGAACAATATTTGCTTTTGTAATTCATTTGTTATTGACCAATTCTTCGACCAATTTTTTTTTATCAAGATAAAATCTTTCATTTGTGTTTTTTTTTATCATAAAATCTTTCCTTGTGTACAGATACTAGTGTTTTTGACCTTTTGACATTGACCTTGGAGCTTGATTCTCTGTTACTAATAGAAAAAAATGATCTTATTTTGAAGTTTTGAAAGTTTGGAGTTACGGCTTTCATAAATAACACAAGTGCATTTCCTGACGTTACTTTCATTTTTTCGCTGATCAATTTTGATCTCTTTCCTATTTTTCTTTTGTTTTACCCACTTTACACCTAACCATTGCTTTTGAACTTTTGAATGGTTGGTGCTAGGGGTTTCATTTTTCACTGTTGCATTTCTTGTATGCTTGCCTAAATTTTAAATTTGAGGCTAACATTTTTAAAAGGCCAAAATATTCAATTTAAAACGATTGCGCGCTGGGAAGTTTTTGCGTATTTGACTACGGTTGTTACATAATGGGGAGGAAAGCACAAAATGAAAGTCACCCAATGTTTTGCTTACATTTTTTTCTGCATTTCCTTCAAAAGAGGGCCAATAAACCTACTTCATCTGCGTGCGGGGTCATCGACATTTAGGGCATATGAGTGCACTTTTATTCTTCAGGCACGCACCAATTTTTTGTACACTTGTGTTACATATACTTGAATAAATTTTCACATTTATAACAAGGTTCCCTTAATACATCACTAGTTAGTGGAAGGTTTATTTTTTTGCATCCGTTCTGATAAGATTTTTTTTAAAAACAATCATCATATTTACGAGGAATTTTTTTGTCTGTGAGATGGTTAACCTGTTAGACAACTACTGTCATAAGAAACATTCCTTGATCGAGCAGAATTCTGACCGTCTGTGCTCAATTTAAGGAAGTTTATCTCAGGGTGTACAAAACTAAGACCTAACTGTTTGCTGCAGAATCTTTTGTGCTTTATTGTGTCAACATAAACATTGAAAACATGGTCCAGGGCACGTTTGATTGCTTCTAAGGATGTATTCTTGTTTTCACAAGCACCTGTCTACGACTAATCCTTACGTTGTATACACGTTACAGACGGATTACTGAGAAGGCCGATGATTATTTTCTAAACGACAGAGGGAACAGTAAATTATGTTTCATTTGCCGTATAGTGGGATGTTAATTCTGACATTTTTATAGTGTTACCCGAGACCCAAGTTTTGGAAAGATTTAACTTTTTTGCAACACCAGTTCACACATGGTAAACCCACAGCTAAGCTCATTTGGTGAATGCAGTTAGCAAAGGGTTTTCTGGCAATTTTATTTTTTATATTTTTGTCTGCTGTCTTCAGAATCTGGAAAGTTCAGTAAGATATTCTGCGACGCCCTCATGAATGTCTCTCTTCCTAGATCATCGGCGCGTTACGTAACAGTGCAAAGGCATCATGATGAAGTTTCTTAATTCTCGGTTCTTGTTTAAACGTAAACACCCATATATGCAAAGTCAGCTGGGGACAATACGTCAAATAACTGGATGAGTGTTAATCCGTTGCATCTGTTATATAGCTGAATTTTAGGTCACTAGTATGTATCGATATTTCTCAAATTTCTTTTTATGTGGTGTTTTTGGACAGGTTGTTTGACGATTTTTCTTTGATTCTTCTACATCTGTGGTATTGGAAGTATTGTGGCCATTTAAATTAAAAAATTAGGTAAAACAGTTCAAATTTCAACCGCGTGGTTTAGTATGGGTCAGCGATCCAATGGATTTTAAATTCTGCAAAATGTGCACGCGCTACTAATTAGAGACCACTAATTGCCCAGTCTTCGAGGGAAACACCCCGTCTCACTTGTACAGTTTAAGATATTTTGTGCAACGATCATCAATCCAAAATGCAACTTTCAAAAATCAACCAGAACATTTTCGAAATGTTTGGAATATTTTATCTCTGTTTTGGACTTTTCTCCGCTGTTAATGCTCTTCCCGATTTCCAAGACGGTGACATAAGGCTGATAGGCGGACGTACGGAGAATGAGGGGACGGTCGTCATTTATCACGACGGACGCTGGGGGAGCATATGTGACAGGGGTTGGGATATCAGGGACGGGAATGTCGCCTGTCACCAGCTTGGCTTCCACAGAGCACTCCAGTCTCTTCGCCGCAGTCCATATGGCCCCGGACGCAGTGAGTACTTATTCAATAGACTTCTTTTGTTGTAAGGCAAACTATTTAACAACATCACAGTTATGCCAAGGATTTGGTAAATTAAGTCAATCAAAACATACATATCTTAACACTTACATTTCAATGAAATGTACGTGTGCTGTTTGGAATCTGATAATCGATTTTATACAACTACAACATTACTAATATTTGAGACCCATAAAAAACCGTGAATACTTCTAAAACATTTACGTGCATATATATTTATCATAAATTAAAACCCTTCATATAAATCAAAAAACATGAATTATCATTCGATCGTGCATAGGTCTGCAATACAATAATAATTGATCTATATATTCATACATGTATTGTGTTCAAAAGATTTAAGAACGACTCTTGTATACAGTTTTATTGTTAAATAGACGTCAGTTAAGCGTTGTTCTAGTTCCTTACTGACTCTATTCGTGGTCACAAGGTCACTAGTTCTATAATACAAATAATATACATTTAGTCTTATTAAAGTATACATCAAACGTAATCATTGACAAATTCATCCTTTGATTTTTGAATTAAAGGTTAAGAAGGTCCATTACACTTTGCTATTTGTGCAATGATTACTAGTATTTGTTTTATTTATATATCCAAACAATCATTAAATTAATTGTTAAATAATGGTATTTTGATAAACTTTTATTTTTGGGGTTTTCTACTAATTGGGCATTACTTGCAACGTTCGAAATATCGTAGTTTAAATGAAGCGAGTCGTTAGTCGCATATTCAGACAAAAGATATGTACGTAATGCAGCGCCATTCCAAAAACTTAACCTTATTTCGGTTTTTGTCTGCGCTGTAATGCAAAACAAATTGTTTTGATGAAAAATAGTGTGTCTAGAAATCCGCATAGATAATATAGAATGAGGTTGATAAAAATATTTTTTTATTCTTCACATCACAAAAATAATATGAATGTCTAATAAAGATGAAAAAATGACACTTTTTTAACAGCCTTTTTCAAAAAACTTCGTGAAACAATTAGTGTGAAAACAAGCATTTTAAAAAATCATTTGCAAGCTTACTAGCTTACAAACAAAGGTAGCCACAAACAAGATTACAAAGAAAATCAACCACAATCCTGCAAATGCATTGCACGTGCAGCCATAAATTTATAACATGTTTGTCATGCATCCCTATTGATTTTATTCATGCTGATGAAATAAAATCATAAAAGAACTCACAGCCACCCCCGCTTTTCACTTAATTAGGTTTATGATTTTTATCAAATAAATATTTTCAGATCTTTTGAAACATACATAGCATGATCGGATCACGATATTTAATAAGGAAATTATAATAACCTGAAATTTGAAAAGGAGACCGAAGAGGCGTTTCAGATACCTGCTCTATTTAAAATCTTTGTTTAAAACATTGAAGTGACAAAAAGATATATCTAGAATAATAAGGATGCATATTGTTACAGAAAGGTTGAATTTAGAAAGTTAACAATAATAATTTAGAAATTATAATTAATTATTTGCTTCATTTACAATACACAAAGGTCTAATATACATCAAATTTTATTTGTATCATCTGTCCATAAGAACTTATACAGCCAGTTGGTTTGTTTGAAATATTCTATTCTTGAATAAAACCATCAAGGTGTGAACATAATATCTTGTAATGAAATATATATGTGGATATAACTAACAGTATTCGATCTCAGAAGTCCATTACACATTACAAAATAGAAGCAGAGCAAACACAGACCTCTAAAACATCAGAGATGGGACCAGGTGCCAAAAAGGAATTAGCGTCTTCTTCTGACTGATCACACCCGCCGTATACTCCTTGTCATGTTCTGGAAAAGAAGGATCCGTAGCCAATTAAATGTGTAAAAAAAAATGACCTAACAATCAGTATGAAAAAAGACAGTCAGCATTTGATTGATGGATTGTATTTGCTGACAAGGCCATTGTACTGACCTTAGAAGTTACGAAATAGTGACTTTAAACAAGACTGCTGATATCCTTGCTTCTGTAATACAATGCACATTGCTACTAAATTTTGGTTCATCTTCTTATACATGAAACCAATCTGCCGCATCCTAAGCATTTTTTTCACACAGGTTTAGCGTTGTTCAAAGCTTTTCTTCAGTTGAGGGACAGCTGACAATGATTCTATAAGCAAAATAATTGCACTCCCCGTTTGCTGAATTTTGTTTTTTGATTGTAGGTAAAACTAAAGAAAAGCTTTCGACAAAAATATGAAAAATTCTGAACAATGCTCTTCGATTGAAAAAAAAAAAACACTATTCAACAGAGTAATTTTTCATTTTACTAGTCTATATTTCTAAGTAACATTTATTATAGGGAAATATGCACTTTTAATTCTACATGATTTTTTTTCCACAGATTATTAAATCGTCATTCAAAACATTCATTCAAATCATCATCTATCCTACTGCAAATTGTTTACGACTTCGAAGAGTTGAATCTTGATAATCCTAGACCAATTTGATGAAAGAAAAAGAAAGCAAACTAAAATTCGTTTTTTTCTGTGAAAAGATTTAATCAGATGTTCATCGCAGAATTCGATATCAACAGCTAAAACAGCATGAAGCAATGAATGGCAAACGCATCAAGTGCATACCTCATGAGTAAACGAATATCTTAAGCATGAAACTAAAGATATTGAGCTGGGAATGCACAATCTATTCATTACTCATTAATAATGTTGTGCGAGGGCGAGACAAACATTTTTTGTAAGATCATAGAGGTGCATTACTATTACTTAACAAGTGTTCGAGATATGATCCATTAATATTAACCCTTTTTTAAAACCCTTTCCTTCCAAAAACCTTGGCCTTTTTTCCATTTCTGAGATTGCAACTCCTTTTCATCTTTAAAGTTTATAGTATGTAAATGTATTAATTTTTTAATAAAATTAATCTCAAACACAGTTTTGAGATCCATTCTTCTTGAATAAAAGTAAAAGATGCCTTAGATATTTTTTAGGATTATTGAAAAATTCGGGAAAATGTATTTTCTGCTTGATGACTTGTTCTTTGTAACGGTCTAAAGAAACGAAAAGTAAAAATTGTCTACTTCGGACAAAAAATTATCTTTCATTTAATACTGATCTTCTTTCTGAAAACAAGTATAACAAACGTTTTTATATTAATTGATGAAAATCGGTCCCTGCCAGAAAATCTTCTTTTAAACTCTTTGAAATTCAGCAAAAAGCCACTGCTTGTTAGCACAAAATTTCTACGGGTACGGGTCACTGCATTTGAGATATAAATACGGGGATTAACCAGCTGTTACTTTTAAGTGTTTCAAGAAGCAGACACTGGAATGGCAAAAAACAAGGAATCCTTGTTTTAGCCGTTCCGAGGTCGCGGTTATTTTTGCTGAGCAATCCAAATGTCACAAAGGTTACTTCAGAACTCCTCCAACATTACTTACAGAGTTTCGTAATGTTTAACATTTCATTATTTTATGCTGACATGTATTTTGAGTTTAACATAACCCGAATTGTGATTTTTTATAAGATTGCAAAAAGACCATCTCGCATTTCAAAGGGATATTTTTCCGGTTTTGTTTTAGCAATACTATTTTGCTAAACATTAGATTTTGCTTCATATATAAACGATAAAAGTAAAGTACAAATGCCTGTATAGATTTTTCCCAGGTTTTAACACTGGAACTTTTTTATGTTGAGGCCAAATAATGTTAAAGATTGTTCGATATATCATCGTGTAACATAATATCTGTGTGGTCCTATTCTGGTGAAATATATTGCATTAAAAAACTCAACTCATAATCGCCATATTGAACAAATCTGCAATCTGTCCGATCAATATGACAAATTTGTTTCTTCATCAGTCCTTGGGGGCCATTTAAGAAACAATCGTATGTCAATTTCATGTTCACGCCTCATAAAGTTCCACACCTACCTAACAGAGAAAAGAATCCACATTAACCCCAGAGCTTAACCTCTGGTATTCAATGTCCAAGACTTATTTTTCTACCCAGATTTATCTCTTCTGGCTTTGATAAGAACCATGCGATTTCAGCGATCCATGCTGTTCTATGTTTACCCGTCCTGTCTCCGTGTTAAAGTGGAACAAAGGGACGATTCATAAACTTTTGACAAATATTACAATAAAGCGTCTAGTTCATTCATAAATCTGATTTACGGACCTATACTATGCGTGATCAATGGATATTGTTTGCCGAAGATGTGCCAAAGAATTATGTAACCTTTGCTCTGTCTATGGGCATTTATGTCTAACCTTTGTTGCGGCTTTTGTTGTATATGCTTCTTATATCGCTGATTATCAAGAATTTAAGCCTAGATATCAAGGGTATGAATTTAATGCGTTGTTTCCCTGGTGTCTTCTTCTATCTGATGAGCATTTGTGAACGTGTCGTTCCTCAGGAACTATCAGAGTCTTATTCCAGAGATTTATTTATTTTGAATTATTCTTCCACTTTTTAAATATGATGCATTTCAGTGTTATGTGTAAGTTGTAAACACCTAATTTGAAATACTCCCAATATCATTCATGATGTTCAAACATCCAAAGTACTCTAAATATCATTAAAAAATGTTGGTTAATGCTGACGATCAATAAAATGAATAAGGTTTTATTGATATACACAGCACATCCTTAACAATTTAGATAAGACTCGATGTGTTTTTATCATTCTGAAATAAATCTTACAAAAAAGCACTTATTTAATTCATATAAAACATTAAACATTGTATGTACATGTAATCCTCAAAGAAATAATTTCTTATTCAATTACCAAAAACACTTTACATAAAATAAACACTTTTCCATTTTCCTTGAAATTTATCACTCATATCATTTTGAAAGAAAAAAATATATAGGACAACTAGATTTTTAAAAGTTAAAAAGTCTATCGTTCATTACGCAAAAAAAAACTACACATATAAAACTTTAAAATGTTAAAACCATGTCTCTGAATGGATGAACTTTAATATTGAATGTTATCTTGTTTTAAAAAACTTCAAGCACAGTCGTAAGCCTTTCGATTGTGGTTAGATAGTGGTTTTAGTGTTGTTTAGTTGTATACATGTATATGCCTTGATATTGTATACCGGCAGTGTCGTCTTTCAGAGGGTGGACAGATCTTCGCTGTAGATTGCTCGTCTTAAAACAACTATCTCTCTCAACCTTAAAGGTATCTGATCAGGGCAATTTTGAGAACCAACAAACCATGAGACAAATTTATTTTATGAATTTGCAAGGTGTTGTGGGGTGAAAAATACATACCTTGTTAGTGGAAGACATCATGTGCATCTGGATCAATAGGAAAGGGCAGGTTGTCTGTTGGAACCGTATATTACGTGGTTAGGTGGTCCTTGGTGTATCGTTTTCTTAGTACAAGGTTTCGTTTCCGGTCTTATGAAAACAGATACAGTTGGTGTATAGATATAGCAGCAATTAAAGCACGTCAGATAAAATTTCTCCAGAAAGAGAAAACTATTTTCAAGTAATTCTCACCAGAGTCACCTCTGCCTATGATTTATGAGATATCTTGTCAGGTTTTTAACGTATGAATTTTAAAACGAATTTTATCTAGCATAATTCTTTTTAAAAGGCGTCCGCAATTAAAAGAAATGAAAAACGATTCTTATATTCAATCTGAATTTACAATTTTAAGATTGATTTATTTTTACAAAAAAAACGTCAATTGAAGTTAAAAAAAGGTCTGGCAAATGAAAAATTAACTTGTTAAATATCATAAAATGAAATATATGAGATAAAGAACAGTATTCGATCTAAAAAGTCCATTAAACATTACAAGATAGGTTAATAAGAAACACGGACCTCAAACACATCAGAATTGGGATCATGTGCCATGGGGGTGCCAGCATAAATAAGTCAGTTAGCATTTGACTTATAATTATAGATTGTATTTGCTGACAAGGTCACTATCTCGGCAAATTACGAAATGATGACTTTAAACGAGACTGCTGATTTTCTTGATCCATTAACGTGTTTGTCAATAATCTACCTTAGGTTTTGGAAATTATAAATGCGTAGAACATGCTTTTCCGTATCGAATCAAGCTCCGTATGCAGGTGACAAGGATGTATTGTTGCATAAGTAAGGGAAGTTGATGATTGAAAAGTTAAAGTCATCAAGTTTATCATAAAGCTTTGTTGTTAGATATCCATTAATATAAAAGTAAATGTATAAATAATTCGCGTTTTGATTGATGATTTTACTTATTACAGCACACCGATGGCTGACAGGCTTGCGTTGTGGTGGAAGGGAGCTCAGGCTTGAACAATGTCGCCCTCGAAGATGGGGAATAGAGAGGGATGAGAGACACTGTCAGCAATACAGTCGTTCTGCGGCGGTCGTCTGCATGCCAAGAGCAGCACCCTCGGCATCTTCTTCTACGACAACCACCACAAAGGCAACCACAAAATCCCAAACCACATCCACAACAGAAAGCCCATCAACAAAACAGATTGCAATAACATCCAAGCCAACGACCATTGCACCGAAAACTTTATTTGTTGAAAATAACATTCCAACAGTTAAAACAATTCTTGAAGAAGATATTGATGAGGTTAATAAGGAGAAACACGCAATTTCTGAAAGATATTCGAATAGAAGCATAATTTACGATGAAAACAATAACAATGAAAATGTCATTCCCGATCCGACTGTCACGAATAATAGACAAATTAGGTATCGTCTACAGTATGATGCTCAGTGGAGTGACACAAGACGAACGAAGGATATTGAAACCTCCCCAACAACAAAGAAACCTTCCACGACAACAAAGAAACCTTCCCCAACAACAAAGAAACCCCCTACAACGACAAAGAAACCTTCTTCAACTCCAGCTGCACCTGCGCCGCGTTTTAGATATGAAGCTGAAGTTTATTCTATTAATTTACCAATGCGACGTTGGGTGAAAGATCCTCTTTTAAAATGTTGGGTTCTAGCTACAGTTCGAGGAAAGATACTCATTGCAAAACCTGGAAGACGTCCTAAACGAATAACGAAAGAAGAGTATTATGAAAGGCGGCGAAATGAACTCGAGGCACAAAGGGGTATAGAAGATGTTTCAAATGAAATAACAACACGATCTCCACTGAATGATGCTTCCGAGACGCACGGAAATGTTGTAAATAACCGTATAGCAGACCCTGTGAGGAGGCGAACAACAACAAAACAGGTAAGAAGTACACAATATTTCCAAGTGACCTGAAAATCAGTGGAATGGAAACTTGTGTTATATTTGGGTTTTGTATGAAAGACATTATCTTTTCCATATTTTTATGAAATATGTAAAAATCACAATATTTATCACATTTGAGCATGTAATTAGGGGAAAACATGCATCATTCTGATCAATTTTTATCTTGCATAATTACATTCATATGCATTGAATTGCCTGTCACATATATTTAATTGCATAATACACTGTCACAATGCTTTATCACAATATAGACAACAATAACAACGAAGAAAACATTAACAACCCCAACCACAATGAAACCAACAACACAAAAACCAACGACAACGACCCTCAAACTTACCGCAAAGCCAGCTACTTTGAAAACCACCATCAAATCAACGACGACTACGACAACAACACCAAAACCTACGACACAGAAACCTACAACACCGAAACCTACGACGCCTAAACCTACAACGCCTAAACCTACAACACAGAAACCTACGACGCCGAAAACTACAACAACCACAACACCAAAACCTACAACAACCACAACTGCTCCTGCTCCAGCCGATACATATGATGATGAAGTTTATGCCTTAAAGCTGGTCAAGAGTAAATGGATCAAAGACGACGATCTTGGACTGTGGGTGATGCTCTCTAGGTCCGGAAAAGTTCTTATTGCCAAGCCTGGTCAGCGATCTAAGAAAGTGACCGAAGATGAATATTACCAAATGAGGAGAGAAAAGATTCGTGAAACACAGTCTCATGACCGTATGAAATCAGATGATCCATCGCCGGGACAGGAATCAGGGCGGGCCCCAGCTCCAAGAACAAGGCTGCTGTCCATTGGCACTGGAGGGGATATTATTAATGGTAATGCTAGTGATTTATCCGTGTCATCCGATGTCATGATTGGTTCGGATCTTAATACTTCACGCAATGGAAATGCAGGCAGGCATGATTCACGCTTTGGAAATCGTCACAGACACGGGCATGGATCAGGGGTACCTTAAATTATATAAATTTAAATATGTTAGAGAATTGCACCGTAAATTTTGATTTTTTAAGAATATTTTTTTATCAATGAATTAGACATGATGACCAATTTCTTTATTTCCTCCTGCTCAAAATAAATCAACGTTGGTTTTCAGAAAATAAAGATAAGACTTGCTGGACACCGAGCAAATCGTGGGAAAATCGAAATTCTTCCCAAAGGAAGAGAAGAATGGGGTGTTATTTGTGGGGATCATTGGACAATGAGAGAAACTATGGTTGTTTGCAGGGACTTAGGTCTTGGCTATGGACAACAACAAATAACGGTTGGTTTCAAATTTATGTTTTATTAACACGTTTTGTTCAAAACAATCAATCTACATGTTCTTACAATGAATTTATTTTCCTGTCTGTTGTCGTTTGATATAGACAGTTGTAATTTTAAATGATATTCAGTATGATATTTATGTATTAACTAAATGAAATTCAATTGCACCTACTGTTTGTAATTTTTTTTCGATACTTGGGTCTATATTTTAAGTTGCGTACATTTCCTCCAATATTGTAGAAAGCGATCTTTGGAGGTAGTGACCAGAAAAAGTATTATTCTCGGGTTCGTTGTAAGGGGAATGAGAAGAGGGTGTCCGATTGTGAGTGGGTGGAACACGAGGGACCGGTGCAGTGCTCCTCCCGCGACTCGGTGGCTGGGGTCATCTGCACATCAGGTAAATATCACGGTTAAGTTTTATATTTAAGTGGGGGAAGTCAGAGACTATGTATGCGAACATGTAGATAAAGGATTATGTTTGCTGTCAATCATTCCATGATTAGAGATGAAATTGCAATGCATGTTAAGTTGCAGTATAAACTGTTACTTTATTACTTAAAAGAAATATACATGTTTAACATTCAATCTTTTAAGGAATATCATCAAATTTTTGAAAAGCACAAAATGAACGAACTTTGATTTTTGAACGACAGAATGAATTTTGGAGTGAAAAAAAGACTGAGTCCTACAGATGTTTTCTTTCTATTTCTATTGGATTGGAGAATGATTTATTAAAATAAAAACTTTCTTGACCAAATTTGATAAAACTATTAAAACTATTTTTTTCATAATTTAATGTTTTAAGTCTTTTATGAAATGATATGCCAAAAACTGAGGAATATTTTCAAGTTTATCTTGAAGAATATAAATGGTTCTCATAATATATGCTTTTGAAAAACATTGATGCACGTTCTATACTGATGATATATGGTTTTTCAGCACTTCCCGACTTAGAACCCAGCATTTACATGTTAGAAACAACGACATTCCTGCAAGATAGACATTTGTATTACCTCCAGTGTGCAATGGAAGAAAATTGTCTGGCACCATCTGCTTACGAAGCACAACGGTCACGATGTATGTAGCGGCTTCAAACAGTCTTCATTTTTTAAAGGCATTTCTCAAACTGTATTTTTAAAGCAATAAAAAAGAGGGGAAAGAAACAGTGTCATTGATGAAGTTTGACAGTAAGATATTTGTATTAGGTATATGCTTCGAAGTTTTTAGAATATCAGGTTTTCTGGCAACTGATTTGAACTTAATGTAGACTCTGACATTGTGCAGATGCCAGAATTGGTTCTAAGAACGGCAGTTATTTATACGCCAATATATTTTGTCTTTTCTGATTATTTGATGATTTTTTTTTGTTTTTTGCTAATGGTAGTATACATTTGTAGGCCATCAAGACAAATACATTGTATATTATATAAAAATATTGTAAGAGTAGATTAACTACATTAAGAATGGCCTACTGGATTTCATAATGGTATTTTTAACTTTGACAGACTGGAGACAGAGTACTCGCCGCCTGCTGCGTTTCTCTAGTGTTGTCAAGAACATTGGGACGGCGGACTTCAAGCCAATGACTGACCGTAGTCAGTGGGAGTGGCATGCCTGTCACATGTGAGTACAAAGTCAAATCCAAGGAATACTTGTATATATGTTAATAATGTGGTTTATTTCCACTGCTTTTTTTTGTTATATGGTTTATTTCCATTGCAATTATATATAATTTTGTTATATGAACACAGTTTTATTGGATATGAAATTGATTTTCAATAAAAATACAATTACCTTTAATATATAGGTAGATTTTCTTGAACATAATGTCGAATTTCTTGCAATAATGCTTATAGCACAACAATGTTGATGTGCCAAATACCATAACATATAAATTCTACATTCAGTAGATATGGAATTGATTTTCAATACAAATACAAATACTTTTATTACATAGGTAGATATTTTAAACACTACAGAATTTGAAAGCGTTGTAAATAATTATGATAATTCATATATTCAACTCTTAAATACTTTGTTTACCTTTTAATAAACATAATTTTCGCTTTAAAAAAGTTCCATTTCGACGTCCGTAACCACAAACAGCCATTTGTTGCTTATAGCACAGCAATGTTGATGTATGATTAATTATTAAATACCACCAAAACTTATTTTGAAATCTAAAAAAATATTACATTCAGTGATAAAGGGAAGTCCTTTGGATAGTAGATGCTAACACACTGCTCAAATGCCCTAAGTACCGAGTCAATTTCTAGCTAGTTGGAGCTAGCCACTGGCAAGTGGTTATTCCTCGATATGAGTAGAAAATATTATTCATGAGGAGATGTTACACAAACAAATAAAACAAATATTTATTGAGGACGTAATACCAGAAAGAGGAATAAAAAAATATTATCCCAGAATAACATTAATTAAGTTGTAGCTATTCAAGATGTATTATTAGAATCCATGTTCCTCTATTACATTTTACCTTTACATCGTATACTCGAAACTTCACTGCCTCCAGCGATTGATTTTTTTTAAATACACGTCTACAATTTTATATCCAGGCATTACCATAGCATGGACGTTTTTGCCCATTATGATATAATGGACCAGAATGGAAATCGTGTAGCCGAGGGATTAAAAGCCAGTTTTTGTTTAGAAGATTCTGCTTGTAATCCGGGTATTTTTCCAAAATATAGCTGCCAAAACTATGGCCAACAAGGTAAACGATTTTTTTTTCTATTTCTGTGCATGGATAGGCTTATTTTAAAATCGTTTATATTTCATTATGATTAAGGCAATTTCTTTAGATTTCCTATAAATATATAACGAGATTTTTATTTAATTTAATGTATGCAAATTCATGAATTTTAACTATAAATAATGAATATGAATGTTTCTATAAAGTATGAAAATGCCATGATATCATTTTTTACATTAAAAAAATAATATAGATCACAGAGTCCATTTACATATTAAAAACCAAATACTTTTCACTACAGAGCCCTAAAAATTAATTGTTTAATAGCAGTTGTAAATATTTATTATAGGAATAAGTGTTGGCTGTTCAGACAATTACATGGCAGACATAGATTGTCAATGGGTTGACATTACAGATTTAAAACCTGGAGAATATATTTTCAAGGTAAATGAATGTTCTTACATTTCAAAGAAATCTTATTTCACATATAAACGAGATTATATGCAAATTATCAAAATGAAATCACATGCAATTAGACAGTTTTAGTTTATGTTTGTGCCAAGTACATGTAGTTAACAGTGCTCGTATTACAATTGTTTAAGCATTAGAATACAGATGATAAATTCATTTAGATAAGACCTTAACACTATGTAGCTGTCCATGATAAGAGGTTGTTATATATCTCAAAGTAAATTAACATATTACTTCAAGTGACGCAATGACTGGAAGACATTTTTTTTTTCTTTTAAAGGTGGAAGTCAACCCGAAAATGTTGGTTGCTGAAATCAGCTTTGATAATAATGCCGTTGTATGTAATCTACAATACACAGGGTATTATGCAAGGCTATCGAAATGCAAACATGCGTCACTGTTATAGTACTGTAATTTGAAGGATATGCAACTTGTTGGAAGATATATTCAGAACGTAATATGAGAATCTGAATAATTGTCTGAAAACGTTCGGTTGCATATTCAACATTCAATAATGACATGGTTTACGGATATTTTAACAAGAGTCGTCTATTTTATTAAGAAACATACATTCTACAAAAATACCAAGGGAAGCTCACCAATTTTATCTGAAAGACAAGTTAATATATTCACAAAAAGTTTTTGGGTAAAAATTCCGACAACAAGGGGGAAAAGATACTTTAAAAATTAACTCGTATACCGGTATTTCAATTTGGTTTTTTTTCTTCCTTGTGGTATGAAACTTAACTGGTTCAGTACTTCTAAGACATGTTACGTAACTAAAAAGACATAATGTGTCTTTCTCATGTTCTGTAATTGTATAGTATTGTGGACTTCTAATGAGAAGGTTAAATAGCTGTGATATTATATCATGCATTTTATAATACAAAGCTTGTGCTTTTATTTAACTTTTTTTTATTCCAGTGAAATTTTGGACAATTCAGCATCTTTTCATTCCTTGTTCTATTTTAGATAGAAATGTTCTTAAAGTCTGGTTCACAAGATTATGTGAAAGAAGCACTCGATCAGTGAACACTATTTTTTTCAAAATGTTAGAGAAATTCATTTCACAAAGATGTTGTATTTCCGTCCAATCTAAATGAATTCCATGTCTGAGAACGATTTTTTTAATTTGAATTCCGAGTGTTTTTGAATCATTTAAAAACATTATATGAGCATTTTACTACCATCACTTAATAATTTGCTTGGCAAACATTTACCATAAAAACATCATATTATAAAATTGTTTTGCATTACCGAAAATCGGAAATGAGTAACTGAAATATCGAAGATACATGAATATCAGTTACAAAACATAATTTCCGAAGAAAATTTAAAGGTTATGACATGTATTTTCCATCAACCAGAATGCAGTATTAGGCAAGATGCTTTTAAAGTATTCATTGAAGTTATCAGCACTATTTTATAAGCTACACGTTGTAGTCAAGTTAAACTCAATAGAATCTCAGAACTATGATAGGTTCCCCATAGCAAAAGAGTTGACTTTATATTGCTTCAAAGACTTGTTCGCTAGAGTTGCGATATGTTCCTCACTCGTGATAACTTCAAGGCCTCAACCGGTATTTCATTTTTGATTTTTCCATATTGATGAAGACCGAAGTTTTCGGTAATGCAATTCTGCTTTTATTATATATGGTAACATGTTTTGGATTAAATGCTTTAGTTATGTTGTTTCAAGACATGTTGATTGCCAGCAATATTTTTTTCATATCATTTAAGTTTAAAAATGATTAAAAGGTGTATTTTAATCCCAGAAATCATACGTGCATGTTTTTTGTTTTAGTTCACTGATATAGCATATATTAAACATTTCAGTTTTTACTCCAAACATATGTATTCGAAGTAATGCATTGATTGAAATTCCTTACTACATGTGAAACTAAAACGCATTGATATTATTTCATTGATTATTGCTTGATGTATTTCAATATTTCGAGCTTACATCTATGATGTACCGTTTAATGTGAACATTTTTGAGCAATACAATCTTCATTTTAGTGAAACAATTCAGTCCTAACTTAATGTCAAACATATATTTTGTTATTTAATTATACGTGTATCTCGTTTTTTCAACATTCTTATGACTGTTAAACAATTAAATGAATTAGTACTAGTTTTACCTTTTGTTTACTTTTTTGTGACCACAAAATGATGCAGGTGTAATACTTGGTAGATAAATCAAATTAAAAAGATACTGTTAACCAAGTTTTGGCGAAAATACTAGTAACCATTTTGTCTTTACTTAATTCCTATTTTATTGACGTCAGTCAATATATAAATGACTAGATTTTGATCACGGTAATTTATATTGACAGAAAAAACAATGTCCAAGACATAAAATCCAAGCGACCCCCTTTTCCCAGGTGACCTTCAAAGGGATTCGAAATTTTTACAAATGCAATAAAGCGATTCAGCATAATAGCAAGATCATCTGATAGGACGACCCCTTGTAAAGATCTAAGGCATTTCTGGGGTTCTCACAATTACACCGGGGCATCGTATAAACGCGTCAATCTGGTAATTAAAACAAGAGATAACCCATGAAAAAGAAATGTCTTTTTTCCTTTATTTTAAATGATAAGAATGCCCTCCTCTTTGTCTCGATAAAACATATTAAGTTTCCTAATTAAAATAACTTTAAACAAAATTCTACATTCCACATGCTTTGTATAAAAAGTTCAGATGTACCTTTGTACTGTTTCTATACGTCATTAATAAGCTATTAAGGAATCTATGTTACTTCTGACAATTGATACATCTAAATTATTTGTGTATTACTTTTGAAATGGGACTACCGGTATTTCCTCATTAAACAGTTCTAATTAAAAAGGATTACCCAGTAATTCCATGTAAATGACGGCATGCTGTATAAAATGAATGAATATTCTTTATCTCTCAATACTTATTTCCAAAATCAATAAATAAATAAAATGTTGGAGAATTATTATTTGTTATAAGTAAAAAATTAGATACATTAATAAAGTATAATTACATCTACATGTATCTTGGAATATTTTAGACCAATTATGAATTTAGATTTATAAAATATATAAAGTTAAGGAAGAGTATTCAAGCCCAAAAGTCCACAAAACAATACAAAATAGGAGCGGAGCAAACACGAACCTTCAAAACTTCAGAGGTGGGATCAGGTGCCATGGAGGAGTGAGCATCCCCTGCCATCCTGTCACATACGCCGTGTGCTCCTTTTTGTGATCTTGAAATAACGGAAAAATCTATCGTCAATTCAGTGTTTAAATAATGGCCTAAATGTATGAAAAATGTCAGACAGCATTTGACATGTTTGACTCAATGATAAAATGCATTTGCTGACATGGTCATTGTATCGACCATTATAGAACTTACGAAATTATGACTTTAAACGAGACTGCTGATATTTTTATTTCATCAATTTGTTTGTCGTCTTTTTTTTATTGATTATTGATAAATCGAATCTATGATTGGATAAAATGATATTGTTCGTAGATAAGATGTCAATAAGGCCATGCACAGCAAAATATTTTTTTTTTCATATTTATGAATTTTAATTACATTTCCTTTTATGCAAAACATATAAATCAAGTATGGAATCAAATTAAGTAAACAGAATATAGCATAATTCATCAATTTTCCAACGCAACAGGTCCACATTTAGTCAAACAATATACAAACTTTTACACGCAGGTTTTTTTTAGCATTGTACAAATTTAGAAGATTTTGTATCTACGGTGTAAATCTAATTGATTGATTAATTGTATATTGTTTAACGCTGAGTTGGCAATTTTAAGCCATATTTTGGCGGAAAATATAATTTATATACGGTAAGTAATATTAGGATCTATATTTAAAACTGTATGAACTTGATCTTTGGAGGATATTTTACTCTGTATATTAGTCATATTATTTTATTTTGCTCTCATTCCAGTCTTTGGAGTCTCGATATGAAGAAACTGATCCCAACTTGAATGGATTTGTGTTTCACAAACGATACTGCTGATATTCGTGTTTCATCAACTTGTTTGTGAATAATTTACTTCGTTTCAGAAATTGTACATAGCTAGAGCTTGCTTTTGCGTATCGAATCAACTGATAGATATAAACCCCTTATGCAGGTGATGGAGGTACATGTATATTGCTGCATAAGTTAAGGGAAGTTGACGATTGAAAAGTTGAATCATCACGTTTATCAAAGACAATGTTTGTTAGATTACCATTTACGGTTTTTTTTTTCAAGTAAAATATCCAAATATGAAACAGATGTGTCAAACTCTGTGGTATCTTGTATGTGCAATCAGATTGTTTTAACAAGAAATTTTGCAAATGACCAATGACAAGGTAAGTAAATTTACGAGCTCCATTTTAATTTAAAAAAAACCCAGCTGTCAATGATATCAAAAAGCCTGGACTTTAAGTGGATTGCTCAATGTTAGTAAGTCAGTATTTTATGCCCTCATCACATATTAATTTATTTTAGTAAAAGTAATTACTAAAATAAACATTAACTCGGAAGGGTAACTCTCTTATCAACTAAGTTTATTAATGAATTTACAAGGACTTTAGAGGACCATGTTTGTTCTGATCCTGATTTGTATTGATTGATATGACTGTTAAGCTTGAAACTGAGATCAAGTTTTATGAAGCGCATGTACATGTAAGCATTCTCTGTCGACAGGTCACACCTGCACTGGCGGATTTAGAGGGGGCAGGGGCCCGCCTCCCCCCCCCCCTTTTGAGTCCAAAAAATACACAATATTTGATAAATCAATGTTTTTTTTCGGTGTAGCTGTGGGTCCCTACCCTGACCTCAAACTGGTCGCCCCCGCCCCCTTTTCAAAATTTCTGGATCCGCCACTGCACCTGTCGTGTGCTTAAAAGCTTCTTGTCATGATTTGGCAAACAGGAAAATCTGAATATCTGTAGACAATTCAGTGTGTAAAATTGTATGAAAATCGTCAACCAGCTTTATAGACGTGATGATAGATTTGAGACAGTGTTTGCTTACACAGTCATTTTATCGAACATATACCGCTTGCGAACTGATGACTTGTTTTAGGAATTATGTGTACATAGGGCATGCTCTTAAGTATGAAATCAACTGGGAGACATAAATGTCATCTGTAGGTTATAAAGGTACATGTACATAAATAAAGGAAGTTGACAAAAATAAAGTGTTAATCTTGTATATCATGAATTTTTGGTTTCAGGTGTTATCATTAATGTTTTTTGTTTTCCTAAAAAAGATAATCAAATATAAAACAGAAGTATCAAGCTAGATGGTATCTTTTATTTTCAAACATGTGTTAACACAGAATTTTTTGTGAAATTCACAAATTTTTACCTGATTCTTTTTTTTTCATTGTTATAAGTTATCGTTATTCACACTCACTGCTGCATGGAAAATCATGAGAAACTAGTAATAAAATACTAGTAATGATGCTGGAAAGGGGAAGCATTGACTTTTAATTGCATTATTTATTTCTTTACTTTACTTTGAACTTAGAAATTTTGAATTATAGGGTTTAGAGACACTAAAATTCTTTGTTACCTGTTTTTTCAAATCATATGTACAAGTTAATTTACAATCGTATTAACATCGGGTGTCTCGTCAAGAATAGTGTTATAATATCATGGTAAAGGGAACATCAAAGAAATGTTTGTATATCTTCAAACTCATTTCAGTTTCTTTTTTCCATTATGGAAAAAGGAGAAGTTAAAAAGTTCTTCAATAGCTTTAAAAAGTTGAACGAATTGGTATAATAATGTGGTGTCCGTTTTACAAAAAAACTTACGACTAAGACCAAACACTTAAGTTGATTGTAAAATTTTGCGAAATTAATGATTGAGTTAAAAATTGCTATCAAGAAAATATCTTTCTTCATTCATTATAAATTTTAAAACCATTTTCAATGAATTGCAAATAAGAAAGTTTTGTGCAGAATGAATTTTTGACTTAAGTCGTAAGTTCTTTTTAGGATAGGAATTTTTAACTAAATTAAAATATATGAAACATGACTTAAAATTTATCTCACTTTACCCGACCAAAACAGCGTAAAAAGAGAGATAAGCAGTACACAAATCGCTAAAAGTCCTTGTTAAAATTTATCGATATAAAGCATTATGTCGACAAAATAGATTAAGAATGATTGGCAGTTTTTGTCATGGCTTTATTGATTAATAGTCAAATCAATCATCAATACAATCAATAGTCAAATTCAATCATCAATACAATCAATAGTCAAATCAATCATCAATACAATGAATACAATGATGTACACAAGGTATCTATACAATGATGTACATAAAGTATCAATTCAATGATGTACACAAAGTGTATATTGAATAATTAATACACAATGGGTACAATGATATTCAATGATAAACAATGATATTCAATCAATGATGTACGCAAAGTGTATACATGTATTCACACAATGGGTACAATGAAATTCAATGATATGCATTGATATGCAATGTTATGCAATAATATGCAATGATATTCAATGATATACAATGATATTCAATGATAAATGAATTGCAATGAGCATGTAGCAATGTATTACAAAGACAATGGTCTACGTCGACTTTATCAATAGTATATGACGTAGAATCAATAGCAATGGCACAATGACGGAAGCTCAATTATTGGCCACTGGCCCTGGAAGATAACAGGATCAGCAGCGAGCTTCTAGCAAAATTCGGCCATATGTCTTCACATGGGAGCTAATAAAGCGCGGCATGTGAAGACATCCGCCACATGCGGCAAATTTTGCCCATACCATGACAAAACTGCTATTTATTACAATTATGCAAAATTAATTACTGCTTGATATATATGCAGTATACCGTAGAACTAGGGAAATTTTATATGAAGATCAATAATATATGTAATGAACGATAACTTTCAATAAATCAATAGTTGCAAAGATCTATAATATATGTAATGATCAATAACTGTTCAATAATTCAATAGATTAATAGTTGCAAAGATCAATAATATATGTAATGATCAATAACTAAATGGAAATGGTAGGTAGCACTGCAAATTTTGACAAATTATTTTGATTATGTCACACTGAATGGTATAGAGGATAATGGTAGAATGTGCTATATGAGAAAGGTTAG